GCCAACACTTGAGTAATTTAGATGTAATCTGCTGAGAGCATGCTTGGGCTGTTGTTTCAAACTACTTTGGAAACTACTGAACCGATATTATTTAAGCCATATTAAACTCTTCACCCAATTGTGGCTTTATCCTTAAAAACCTGTAGAGTAGGGCTTGTTTTTGAAAATGCTGCCTCTAACATCTGCGGGTCTGTTCAATAAGGCTGACTATTAAGCTCATTAGAAAGTGCTAAAGGGCTGAAAAACTTTACATTTCCTGTGTTAGTACTAAATACTGTGGTTTCTGCTTTGCTGCTGCTTTACAGCTCTGAAATTTTAAAGAAAAATACAAAAATGATGTATTGCAATAAGCTAAGGAGATGCAAGTCAGCTTCACCTTCTGGTCTTTATGAAGAAGGTGAGCAGATTATTCTGTCTTTAATAAGTTATTGAAAAGTAGTAGAAAATGATGATGCTAAAGCCACCAAATTAGAACTCAACACTTAATATTTCTTTCACCTGGTGACTAGAACAGATTATTTTTTTTGAAGCCGCTTTCCTGAATGCCTATTACAGCATGTGAGACAACAAAAGGGACATCAAACAATTTTTCTTCCTTCATGGATCAGTCTATTTAGTGCTTATTGAGCTGCAGTATTTTCAGAAAGGGAAAGAAAAATTCATTCTGAACAGTGGATGGAAAGATTACCTCTTAAGTCCTTTCGAATACCGGGTTTTGTAATAGAGCTTATAATTCAGTTTGGCTGAAGTGTTACAATTAGATCTACGTGGGCTGAAATTTTATTTGCTGCTGCGGTGTGTAGCCTGCTTTCAACTTGTGTGTGCTTGCTCGAGGTAAGAAATGAGACAATCATTAGACTGTAAGAATGGTGACCAGTTTTAGTAATTACCATAGCATGAAGCCATGGGCTGCATTAAAAAAGGGGTGGCCAGCAGGGAGGGGGAGGTGACTGTCCCCCTGTACTCGGCTCTTGGGAGGCCCCATCTGGAGTACTGCGTCCAGGTCTGGGGCCTGCAGTACAGGAAGGACGTGGAGCTCTTGAAACGTGTTCAGAGAAAGGCCACTAAGATGATCAGAGGGCTGGATCACCTCTCCTATGAGGAAAGGTTGAGGGAGCTAGGCTTGTTTAGCTTGGAGAAGAGAAGGCTTCAGGAGACCTGGAAGAAATACCTTCCAGTATTTGAAGGGAGCTTATAAACAGGAGGGGGAACAGCTGTTTATGAGGGTGGACAGTGATAGGACAAGGGGGAATGGTCTTAAGCTGAGACAGGGAGGGGTTATGTTAGATATTAGGAGGAAGTTTTTCACTCAGAGGATGGTGACACACTGGAACAGGTTGCCCAAGGAGGTTGTGGATGCCCCATCCCTGGAGGCATTCAAGGCCAGGCTGGATGTGGCTCTGGGCAGCCTGGTCTGGTGGTTGGTGATCCTGCACATAGCAGGAAGTTGAAACTCGAGGACAATTGTGGTCCTTTTCAATCCGGGCCATTCGATGATATATGGTAAATCATGTGTGATGAGACATTGTATTACACTGAAGTGAGATATGTACCAGAAGAACGTAGAAAGGAAAAAAAAATTAACTAATATTTTTTTTTCCTGTACGTATAGCCTCAAGAAGTTACTATTTTTTATTCTCACTGAAGATCGTATCCCACTTTGCTATATTGCAAAGATTGTGAATCAGACATTCTGCCCTCTGAGTGGTTGTGACATCAAGTGCAAGGTGAATATGCTAAAGTATGATTTCTCACTAAATATTTCTTCTCATTTAAGGAAGAAATAACAATTTTAGTTCCTTTAAAGATGAGCCTAAGCTTAAAATCTTCAAATGAGGAATTAGGAAGTGTATATTATTAAGCACTGAGACTTTTAGCAAATGGTGACTTCTGGCAAATCCAGGAAATCAGTAACATCTGAAAAAATATGTTTGTGTCACTTCCCAAAAGCAATGAAATAGGGAATGGAGGATTATTTTCTGGTTTAAAGGGGAAGAAGAAACTGTTCTTCCCCTTCTCTACCATCCAGCAGAGCAAAACAGAATTTCTGAGGTCTGTAGGAATATGAGGTTAGTGTTGCCACATGGTGCTCTACGAAACGCAAGATTTTTAACTTCATAACAAATTAAGAGTGAAGTGCTTAGACAGACTTAGCTGATTTTTAAATTTAAGGTCTTTGACCTCATGCTTTATACCTGTTCTTTAAATTATTCCCTGTTTCATCAAAGGAAACGAATGCTGAAGGTATGTGTGTGGTGATCCTAGCAGGAATCAAGCTGCCTGTACTTAGCAGTACCTCCAAACTTCTGCTGCCGCTGCCTGACTGAGACACAACAAATAATTGCTTCCTGTGGTTGCTTGTGATTCAATGAAGTTTTAGCTCTATTGGCAGAGTTAAGGGTGGGCCGGGTGCCTGCCTGGGTTTCTTCCCACCCTTTTACCTCAGCGTTCTACCATAATTCCCCCCAGAAAGTTTAAACAGATTATGGTATTTTGAAGAATGTTAGTTTTGAAAGCTGCATATGGTGTAATTTATTGTATAATTTTCCCTTTAGCAAGGATTACTCTTTCCTCTTGGAAATACTATATTTTGAACTGTCTGGCAAGGCAGAAGTGAACTACATGGATGCTTTTTTTTTTTCCTTGTTGAACTTTTTCATGGGAATTCCTTGATGCAACAGTACTGTCATATTCTTACAAAAAATAAAGACCAAAAAACAAACAAAAAAAAACTTTCATCTTTGAAAGTTTGCGGTTTTAAATTTGTTCAGATGAAGATCTGTCTTCATATGAAAATGTGCATAGTGTTTCACAGATGGTATGGCTTGTTCAGTTCTGAAATGGGCAGGGATTTTGGTTCTGAAGGGGGAGAACAAGTCCTAATAATGAAAAGTAAGAGTAAGGTGTATAGCATCTCTCCAGATAGAGATAATTTCTGTAATATCTTCTGCAAAATGTCGTGCTTTTTATGAGAAATACTATAAAACCAATTCCTATGCAAATATCTTCTGCCTAAGTAATGTTTTAAAAAGTGAGTTGGTTCTTCTTGCAGAAGTTGTGGCAAACTCCTGTGGGTGACAAAAGAACCTCTGACAATTTTTAAGTCTTTTTGCTTAAAAAATTTATATCAGTGTGAAGCCTTTCAAAAAATCTTAGTTGAGTTTTGTGATCTTGAATATTTTCTCTATTTTTCCTTGCTGTCTTGAACACATTTAATGACAATCTTTTCAACTCTTCAGATATTCAAAAACATCTTACACCTTGCAAAAGTAAGGAATCTTCCTGCTAAATGAGCAAATGCAAATATTTGGGCCTAATTGAACCCACTAAATGCTAGGTACTGAGGGGAGGTTTTGGTCCTACTTTTACATGAAGCAAACATCCTGACATATGGCAGAAAAAATGTTGTAATTCCCAGATGGATGCCATCCTGGGATGCATAAGTGTTTGTTGTCCTCATCTACACTATTAGGATTGTTTCAGCAACATTTTTTCCACCTGAATTTATACAATCTTGTTTGGGTTTATTTGTTGTTTAATTTTTCCAAAATTAGCTGAACTTAAAGTGACCTCCTCTACTTCCAAGCTTAAACTGAAAATGTGTTAAATCCTTTTTATTAAAAAAATAATCTTTACAAAGCTAGATTCTACAAGAAGCACCAGGGGCAAGGACTGTTTCCTTTGAAATACTCCCAGCCTTAGAGAGGAACCTTCCAGAGGAAGAGTAAGGACTACTAAAAGACTTATTCATAAGACATGTTTAGGTCAGTCAGTGAATGATTTTTAAGTACTAGTAAAGCTTTTAAAATTCTTATTCCCAGCCAAAGTGTGATTAAAGTATTCAGCTGTATTGTTCCTGCAGTTTGATATGCTGGTTACTTTCATTAAACTTCTGCTATTGAGTTGCATAGACCTCCGTTGCTGTGCTTAGGTAATACACAAAAATCTAGTTAAAATAACCAGTGGTAATAACGTCTAAAATATGTATTTGTATTCAGCTTCTTGCTTTAGATGCAGTGCTGGCCATTCCTTGAAATAACTTGATGTTCCTAGAAAATCAAAGGTTTTCTTTAGATTTATTTATTTATTTTAATCTGAGGACAATAAAATACTATTTTTTTTTTCCCCTTGTAAATTGTAAGGACGTAGAATTATTTATTAAGCTATGATCTATGGAAGTAACTAATGGAAACCAGTTCTTTTACTGATAGTAGGCTTTGAATCATATTCAAAAGTGGTTTGAGTTATGGTTGAAGTTGTTAACCTGCCTTGCTTCCAGTGGGGGGAAAAAAAAATCTTTTTAACTTTGATATCCATTTTTAATTAAAGATAACATTTCTTAATATATGCAGATAAAGTATGTTCAACTACATTTTCAGTTATGACTTGCTGCAGTGCTTTTACATTCTGTAATGGTTCTTTCTTATTAATGTTTCTCTCAACTGACTATATTTCAACTACAAAAATAGTTATTCTGTTGATTGTTTTTATTGTTTTAAGGTACCCTCTTTTAATATGAGGGCAGCTTGTTGGAGTGTACCACAAAGTGGAGTGTCAGATATCGCTGACAAGACAGTTTGTACATATACGTGTATTTAGGTCATTGTGTGTTCACTGGAAGACATTTTTAAGCTTTATTATTATTAACCATTTGTGTTGCACTGTGGAACCATAGAATGGTTTGTGTTGGAAGGGATCATTAAGATCACGTAGTTCCAACCCCCTGCTGTAGGCAGGGACACCTCCCTCTACACCAGAGTGCTCACAGCCTCATCCAGCCTGGCCTCAAATACTTCCAAGGAGGGGGCATCTACAACCTTGTTGGGCAACCTGTTCCAGTTGCCAACACCCTCACAGTAAAGAATTTCTTCCTAATATCTAGACTAGATCTACCTTCTTCCAGTTTGAAGCTGTTTCCCCTTGTCCTGCCACTCCTGGTTCTTATAAAAAGTCCCTTCCCAGCTTTCCTGTAGGCCCCTTCAGGTACTGGAAGGCTGCTAGAAGGTCCCCCTGAGCCTTCCGTTTTCCAAGCTGAAGAGCCCCAGCTCTCTCAGCCTGTTCTTGTAGGGAAAGTGCTCCAGATTTCTGATCATCTTCATGGTCCCCCTCTGGACCCAATGCAGCATATCCATGTCCTTCTTGTGTTGGGGGTCCCAGAAATGGATGCAGTACTCTAGGTAGGATCTCACAAGACCATTTTAGGTGGGCAGAAAAGCAGAGTAGGGGGGCGACAGTGAATACCGTGAACGCATAAAGTGATGTTTTTGTGCTATAGTCCCTGTACTTAATTGTTTTTTATATTTTTTTTAAAGTTAGTTTTAAAGTACATCATGATATATATCTATTTCAGTAACATAATCGCTTTACTTTGTTGTTAATGATGAAACAGGCTGTGTTTCCTTCAAGAATCGTGCACTGTGATTTAAATGCTCTTGTGGTCAGACCTTGGATGGACATTGAGAGCTGTTTTATAACTCAGAAAATGCTATCAAAAGATGGAGGTGATAATAGGCAATTTATTTTCTGTATTAATTATTATCAGTTACTGCTAATGAATAGAACAGGAGGAACAGAATCTTCTGAGAGAGTAAGCCTTCAAAAGTGAAATACTAGACAGGAGGGAAAGATGGTAGAAAAACAATTAAGGAAACCACAACAAAGAGATCCTTTGACATTGTAATATCTGTGAAATAGCAATAAACAAGAAAACATTCCAGTGAACTTTACTTCGTTTTCTTTCTTCTCTTTTGAAGAACTTTGAGAACTCATGTTGACTTTAAATGATCTGAAATCAGTGCAACCATTTCCTTCAGCAAAGTGAAGGCTGATAACTGCGGATGACTACTGCTACTTTAAAGAGGGGAATGGAGCTTTTCAGATTGCTTTGTGAATTATGAAGGTTCCAGGCTTTTCCTGTATAGAAATCTGATCAGAAAGTTGCATTCAAAGCTGTTCCTACAGTAAGATTTGTGCATAATCTTTTATTAATCCATGTTTCAGTTTAATTCTGGCTTGTAGCAAGTTACTTCCCCAGGGAACACAGGATTCTTCATAGGAGAATATGAGGAGCCATGGTCCCTGAGGAATCACATTGTGAAAACAGGCTTGACTTTGTAAACGCTAATATAGGTCTGTTATTCCCCTTCCACATCTATCACAGCACATTTTAAATGGTGGCTGATCTTTTATGCAAATAGCATCTTATTAGGCGTTGTGGCTGCATGTGCTAATGTCTCCGTGGGTTTCTCAGGAGTTTGCTATCCAGTCGTCAAAGAGGTGGCAGTGAAGAATGCTGGCTGCATGGCTTTGAAGAACAAAAGAGATCTGCAGTGTTTGCAGGTTCTGGGTGCTGGGGTCTGCAGCACTGAGTCTCACACAGCCTGAGACTCTACAAAGTAGGCCTGCCTTGTTCCAAATAATGGGAATTATTGCTTTTTGTCTGCAGTTTCTTGTGCTTTGTTGGCATTGCAAGGACTGCAAACATCTTTTACAGATGACATTTTGTTACAAAACAGGCTATTGAAATTGAAAGAGTAAAGTCAAAAACAGTTTCTTGCAGTGGCATAAAATAAGCCAAGAGCTAGTTTTGCTGTGTAAAACATATCTGTTATCTCCTCAACTAGCTGCAAGTTGGAATGTTACCTTGATTTTCCACTCGTGTTATTATGATGGGAACCTTATGTGAGAATATCAGACAAGAAAGTAGCTGGGAAACATAATAAAGGAGGAAAAATGCCAATTGGTTACAGCTGACTGCTTGTACATTTTAGATTAAATGCGAATATTCTCTGAATCAAACCACAGTGATGTGTGGAAATGCTAGAAGGCTGTAATTGAGTTTTTGGTTCTGATTTAAAAAAATTATAGTGTTCTTCTATACCTTTTTATTACTCCTCCATGCCTTTGAAATGATTACTGATGGTCCTGTGTCTTACCCCTTAAATTAAGGAGTGTTCAATCTCCTTTGCTTCAGTTTTGTCATTTGGCATTGTATGTTAATAAACAGGTTAAAATAAATAGGTATGTGCTAATAAAACAGGTAAACAAAAAAAGAAGTGTTGTGGTTTTAAAAGCACATATCACTGGTGTTATCCTCTACTTTGATCCTCCTCTGAGAGTATGAATGGAATACCTGGGGCTGCTGGAGTCTGTGACACCTCGCAGCCCACTCAGTAGGGACTCATTCCTGCATTTCTGTGTGAGGTTTGGCACTGCAGGGCCTTCAGCTGCCATGCTTCCCAGGGCCTGGGGAACCTCTGCTGGTTGTACATCCTTCTCTAGCTGGTTCTGCCTACTGTGAAACCACTGTGTATGCCTCAGGGCCACATGTGCACAATCTCAGTCAGTTTGTGGCTATGCAAGGTCATTTGACCAAAGCTTGCTCATGGTGCTGCCCTTAAGCAGCTTGATTGTACAGTCCCTTCTAAACTCATAATGCCAGGCATCTGTGCTGTGAGATGCAAGAAGTCCTTTCACTTGTGGTTGTTTCTGAAGTACTTTGAGAGTGGCTTAAAGTGTCAGTGCTTTTGCAGAGTGGCATAAAATGGGCACGGACCCAGTTTTGACCTCCAGTCTTCACTTGCTTTCTTGAGGCCATGGCAAGAATGTGGGAGAGTGAGGGGGGTATTGCTGTGCTTCAGGTATCTGCTCTGAATTTGTGTTCAAGGTGGCCTGGGGGAAACTTGATAAGTTTCTTGAGTAGGTGCACCTGGCCTGGGGGTACATGCACTGCCTGGTCCTGCCTCAGGCTCCTGGCCAGCTGTTGCTGTGTTTACCATCTACAGAAGTTCACAGTACTGCTTTCACTCTGTGATTTACTAAAGAAAAAAAAAGTGAATGAAATTCAGTGGTATTGAATGGTGAATTACAATACTGTCTGTTTAAATCTTTTTTTAATTTAAAGTAACAGGCGTTCTGTAATGCTAATAGTTCATGCCATGAGGGAAAGGTATGTTTATAATTTATCTAATAGCATTTACAATGGTCATGATAAAATCCAGAATCTCATTGTACTCTGAGTAGGCTTCTGTTTTTGTATGCAATTTAGGAAATGTTTTTTGCTACAGTTTTTCTTTTCTGATGTTAGAAGTCATTGATTTCCTTAATGAGTCACTTAGGAGTAATGTCTTTTTTTTCTTTTCTTTTTTTTTCTTTCTGGTACTGACAGTGATTTTTGAATTGAAAACAATGGGAAAGAAAGATGCCTCTACAGCAAGAACTCCTGTTGACCAATACAGGAAACAAATAGGTAAGATATCTGAAGTAAAGTTTGTGTGCTTGTGATCTGTTTTGTGCTGTTGGACTAAGTTGGTTTAACAAAGTGTATTATTTCTTCTCAAAGGCTGTGTGTTGTTTGCAAGTGATACAAGTAATGCATGTTCCAGGATAACAATTTTTATATGCTGTTGATGAGTCCATTCTGCAAAACCTTTAATGCAGACATTGTTTTGTGTGTGTATGTATGTATGTATGTATTTATTTATTTAAAGTCCTCAGTCTGTGTTCAGAGCTGGTAGTGAGATGCTGCAGTTGGGTAGCAATGTGGTATTTCTAACTATTGGAATTTTCAGTATTTTTCTGTTTGTCTCCAGTTTTAAATACTGATGTTTCTAAAAAGGAATATTGTTGATTCTCATAACAATTTTTGATATACTGAATGAAGATAGAGATTTTACATTTACTTTCACGTTACTAGATTGTTTCAACATTTTTGAAATTTCGTTTCCCAATTTTTTTCTTGCTATTTACCCATTGTAAATGTAGGTAACTTGAGTGGAAGTATGCAAACACACACAGACATATTCACAGGGATGCACCCACAGCAGACACAAATCCTTCTTTCATAGTTCAAATACGTAGGTAAATAACTTATTTTTAGAATCTGTATACACCTGTCACTCCAGGTGTAAAATAATATTATAAAGCACATACAGTATTTTAAAATGAATACCTTAACCTCTACTCAATTATTTAAGTAAATGATTTTGTTTTACAGTTGCTAAGCAGCCACATCTGTGTTTAAATATGCAGAAAAACTGTAATTGTCTGGGAAGAAAAGGCTGTTTATAACATACAATCTCATGGTGAAGGAGCTAAGATTATGTGAGCAGTCATAATTTTATTGTGCTTTAATGTTTTCAGTGCTACTTTACTATTTTTGATATAATTGTTTTAATGGACTTATATTTCCTAATGTTGGGCAATTAGTGTGTCAGACTTCCTCAGTGATTGAGTCTCTGAGATAGTTAAAGGTGTGGTCGAAAATCTCCAACTACCTTTACAGATGGGCAGCAAATATACTGGAAAACGTTTGTGCAATTTAGTCTTGGTGTAGAGAATCTCATGAGGAGAAGGTGGCACTGCAGATATTTCATCAGGATGGGCTAGGCAAGTGGAAGCTCCTTCATGTGAGGGCCATGCTTCACATGAAATTGGGAGTTCAGAGAGAGCCCTATAGTGTCGACTTTCTGACATTTTCTCAGCTTCTCATTTTGGTCTGTGCTTTCCTAGATACCTCCTTGGTAGCTTCTAGCTCCTAGCTTTTCTTCCCTTTGTGAACACTTCCAAGTGACTGCTGTTGGAGTCATGTTTTTTGAAGTCCTCTGCAGGGCAGAAGATACCAGTGATTTTGAGAGGGCTGCTCAGCAGGGTAGGATTGTGGTGTGTGAAGTTTCTCTCATCTCAGCAGGAAATTTTTCTGCAGGGACCCCTGGGACCATGCTGGGCCACTGAAGGACCAGAGGGAGGGTAAAGCTGCTGCGGTATATGAGACTCACAAAACTCACATTTCAGAGCTTGAGCTATTTCTTGCACATTAACAGCACTTGGCACTGTGGTTGCATGTCTCGCACCTGTGTGCCAGGACTGATCTGTGGTGTCTTAACTTGGGGAGATGACACTGCTGTAGCAACGAGGCAAGAGAGTATAAATCAGGGTCCAGTGCTCAGAGGGATGCTGTTATGTAGCTTACTCTTTTGTTTCAGACGAGGCTTGTACAGCATGTTGTCTGAACAATTTGGCACCTTCCTTGTTATATGATGCAGCACCATGATCTATTGGGTACTTCAAAGTGCAATGTCCAAGGGGTCTCATAACAAGCTCATTTTCCTTAGAGGTGACGCATTGCTTTTAGCTTGGCAAAAGCAAGCATTAAAAATTATTATAGGGAAGAATCTCACACTGGCAGGCAAATAAACTATATAACCTGTGAGGTGTTTTTCTGTCTCCAGTTTCTGCGTTTGTATTATTCCTTAGAGGACGGAGAGCAAGAACTAAAATAGGCTATGCATTGCCTCTTGCTCTGACAATTTTTTCAGCTCCTATTCTGGTTGTTCACTGATACACTGTAGAGTTTGTCAATGGAAATTAGTTTTCTACTCTTTCTGCTGAATTTAATGAATGTAACAGAGAAGAGCTGAGAATTTATGGGTATGTTTTTATACTTAGCGTTGCAAAGGTGTTTGAGTTTTACATATAGGTAGTTTGGGCAAGCTTTAGACCTAGAAACCAAGTTTAGTGGAGCTATTTCTCTATTCTCCCTATGCTCCCACATGTTCTACTAAAGTAAATACAAATATAATACAGTAAACAGCTTTTCTTGTCATAGTGAATATGGAAGAATTCTTTCTTTTCCTTTTTTTTACCACTACCTCTTAATTTTATTTTTTTTTTAATTTAGTTCTGTGCAAGTGGTGATAATTAATCTGTTTGTCACAGTATCACAGAATAATTGAGGTTTACAGGGCCCCCTGGCTCCATCTGACCCAACCCCTGCTTCATCAGGGACACCCAGAGCAGGGGCCATAGGACCATGTCCAGATGGCTTCTGATCATCTCCAGAAATCAGGGACTCTTTTCGAGCAATCTCTTCCTGTGTTTGAACACTTTCAAGAGTTTTTTTCCTGTATTTAAATTGAATTTTCTACGCTTCTTGTCCTGGCACTGGGCACCACTGAGCAGAACCTGTCTCCATGTTCTCAGCGCTCCCCTTGAAGTATTTACAGATATTTATGAGATCTTCCTCAGAGCCTCTTTTTCTCCAGGCTGAACAGTACCAACTCTGTGTTTCCTCATAGGAGGGGTGTTCCAGTCTCTTAATTTTAATTGCTCTCGATCTACCTCTTCATTATCTGATGTCACTGACATACTTATTATAAAATCATACAAGAAGAATTTTAATTTTCTTTTAAAATTCAATCTTCAAATACATTCTGAGCTGCCAAATCTAGATCCCTTTGCAAGGATGTGTTAGTGTGAGGGTGCTCAGTGGAAGATCCTCCAGTGTACAGAATGCTGTCACTCTCCAGGAGTGTGTAGCTTCTGGGAGGGTCATCCTTTTTGATAGGAGAAGAAACAGAAGAGTTACGTGTTTTGGAGAAGAGTATTTGCTTGCCCTTTCCTGGATAGATTACAATCTACAAACAGCATTGTAGTTTAACTTGGCAAGCAGCTCAGCACTGTACAGCTGTTTGCTCGCTCCTGAGTGGCATGAAAGAGAGAACTGGGAACGAAATAGAACTCTTGGTTTGAAGTAAAAACTATTTACTAAGAGAGAAGAGGAAAATGGAGACAAAAAATGTGATTATAAATATATATATATATCCCCAATGCAATTACTTGCTGACTGACACCCAGCTAACAATACAACTACCTGCTGACTGATGCCCCACTACCAACACAGCATCTCACTGCCCACCAACTGATGCCCAGCAATCCTCGAGCATAGGCCAGGCTCTGGCCAGCTGCCCACTGTGTTATAGCCCTCTGCATTATGTCACAGGTATGGAATAACCTCTTGGCCAATCCAGGCCACCTGTCCTGGCTCTGCCCCAACGCCTGCTGCTGTGTCATAAAAGCAGCAACTCCTCCCTGCCCAGTGGCCCAGCTTGACTCTGGGTGCACCCCCATCACTCAGCAAAAACCAGAACAGTGGTGTGCTGTTAACATTGTCTCAGCTGAAAATAGGACAAAAAATGGGCAAAGGGTAGCTGCATGGTGCCTGTCTTTAAAATCTTGATTTATCAAGCCCGCTTACAGTTCTAAACCCACATATTAGTGTTGCCATCCTCCCTTTCCAGGTGTTCAGTATGTATGGATTCTTGGAAATATTGTGATAGCTGCTGGCCACACAACTACTTTTTGCTGACTAATGATGTCATGTTAATTTTAGCTCACAATTTACTGTTTCCTAACCTTGCTGAATGGATGGTAGCCAGATTGAAACATTCTTAATACCTTCTTTTTGGATGGAAAATGCAGTCTTGAAGGAACAGCATGTAAAAAATTCATGTCAACTTCAACACAATTTTTAATTAGATTTTTAGTAAAGTAATTTGAACTAAAAACAGGTTTTTAATTTCATTTTGTTCCAAGCTTTCTGTTTTGTTCTGAGTTTCCATACGGCATGCCACATGCTTGCCCTATGCCACAGTTTAAGTTCATGTTGATCTCCTCAGTTCTCTCTGTCTCTTTCATGAGTGCAGGATTGCTTGTGTTTTCTTTCCTGATGCACCTTCAGCAGTTGCTTTTTGCTTTCTGAGGATTCCCCCAGAATAAAGGCTAATATAGCTTGTCTTCATCAGCTGGCTTCCAGCCACCTCTCCCTCCACCAGCCAAAATTTGACTGTACTGCCTCTTGTTCAGCAAGAGCTCCTGTGGCCAACAGTGCAGGGAGAAGAGGAATTTTTTTTCCTATCAGACCAAACTGGCGCTGGCTGCTTGAAGACTGTCCCTAAATGGGGCATAGGATGGCAGCATCCTTTTCCAACTGGCTTGGACTGTGCCTGGAGAAAATAGGGAGGAGGAAGAACAACACCACCATGGGAGTGACTGTGTGCTCGGTCTCCTTTGGCAGCCCAGGCTCTAGGGGTGTCACGAGGAAAAATCATTTTAATGCTCTTTTTTCATCCGTCTCTGCCATATTCAAACATATACCTGAGCATGCAGGTATACACTCCTGTGATGCAGCAGCAAACAGTGCATAACATGTATTTATCCCTGCTGCTGTTTGTGCTGCTGTGCTTAATTTGATGGGATTGGAGGGGAGGTGTGAAGAAGCACGCATCTTTCGGCATCTATGTAGCTTCGCTTCACAAATGCTGTGAAAATAGCAACAGGTTTTGCACCATATTTGCTTTGTTTACTGTTATGTGTGCTTTAAGTTCCCAGAACAATTCCACATGTATATTTTCTCTCTCTCTTCATCTGGTGTGTCAGTTGCTCGGCATAGGAACCGCAGGATTTGTGGGT